CCCCCCCCCCCCCCCCCCCCACTACTATGATCTTTTTGGTGGTCCACAATAGCATTGAAATCCCCCAAGATGCAAATATTCCTTTTATCTAATTCCACTAATTTCCCATGTAATTGTTTAAAAAATTCCTTTTGGCTATCGTTAGGAGCATAGATTACCACTAGTAGAATTGGAATTGATTTAATCCAAATTTGTAACACCAGAATTCTTCCATTGGGGTCTATCCAAATTGGCTCTGCTTTCATATCGTCTTTCACATATACTGCTATCCCTTTCTTTTTCCTAAAATCTGCTGGTGACGTATACAAATTCCCTAGCTTGGGGCATTCTAGATATTTTTCTTCTTCCTTCCTTATATGAGTTTCCTGTAAACATATTATATCTGCATTTTGTTTAATTAATTTGGTTAATATTCTTTTCCTTTTTATCCTAGAGTTTAGGCCATTTATGTTAATTGATAGTATTTTCTTTTCTTCATCCATCACCTAATTGACTCTTGCTCTTTGTCTTGTAGCTCCCCTGTCTCTCTTTGTGGCTGATTGTGCGTCTTCGGTTCTTCTCTCTCTTGATGTTGTTTATTTTTCGAATTCCTTCAATTCCCATCTCTATTTTTTTGGTAGTCTTGGTCGTCTTGCGAATTCATTTCTAACTCGTCTCTACTACTCGATTCTTCATGGCCTATCAATCGTTCGTAGAGTTCTTGAGCTTTTTACACGGAGTCTACTTTTTCTTTCTTCCCAAGTGATTAGCATTCCCTCTGGGATTAGCCATCTAAATATGATACCTTTTTGGTTTAATTGGTTCGCCAAGAATTTATAATCTCGCCTCTGCTCTCTCACTCTTCTTGGGATTTGTTTAAGCACCAAGATTTCTTTTCATTTGTATGTAATTGTTTCTTCTCTAGAAATTTTGTATATAATATCTCGAACTTTCCTTCTGGCAAATCTCACATGGACCTCTTTTGGATGTTTATGTCGTCTTGCGTAATTTGTGCTCACTCTGTATACTTCATCTAACTCTTTCAGAATATCGTCCTTATCTTTTTCCAATAGGTCTGCTAATATTCCTGCCATCACTTTTTCTAAGTCCTCTTCTTTAGATTCCATTATATTTTGGAATCTTAGATATGCTGCGACCTTGTCCATTTCCAAATATACCAAGGAGTTGTCCATTTCTTTACATTTCTTAATTGCTGACCAACCATTTCCAGCTTCTTTTCCATTTGTTCCGTTCTTTTCTCAACCTCCTTTATTGTTGATTCATTCCTTTCTAGTGCTTGCTGTATTGTTTCAATTTTTTGATCCAACTTTAGGATGTCTAATTTCATTTCTGCCTTTAAGTTTCCCATCTCTTCTTTTAGTTCATTTGTGTCAGCTCTTGATTCGATATGATTTTTTACCACTATTTCCTGAAGCTTCAGCATGGACTCTTGTAAAGTAAGAAGGGTCGATTGAATATTGGCATTCGTGATGATAGGTTGTTTTTCTCCAGGTAGAGTTTCTTCAATTGTCTTTTGTGCCATCACTGAGGTTGATGGCATTGAAGTTGTTTGTATTGAAGAGGTCTTCTTTCCAGTTTTAAGCGTTGTATTAGTGACGGAGGTCATTTCTTGTAAAATTTGTTTTTGTTTTTGTATTATATTAAATATGTTGTCCCAAATTAACATTCACTATTAAGAAGTATTAACTATAAATGGCCACTACGCTAATTAATATGATATGTTACAGGATTAACCTCTCTTATCAATATATATATATATATTCTCCCAAACATTTTTCAATCTAATCAATGCCTACAATCAAATATCTATACCTCAATAATTATCACCTCCCTTTGTGTGTGTTATAACCAAATATAAACTACAATATTACTAATGTATCAATTAAATATATATAACTTACATTTACCACATTCAAAAATCAGTTAAGTTGATGTCAAGAAATAATTGTTGCAAATTTAGAAGCTTAAAGTGTTTTAATATAATTTTTCAGTTCTTCAAGATTCCTTCACCAAGCGCACCGGAAGCACAGAGTTGCTGAGTAATGTCTCTGATTTCACTATCTCACCACACTTTCTGCTGTAGTCGTTTCTCCTTTCATTTAAAAGTTTTACAAGTCAATTTTTTGATTCAAATAGTCTCTTTCTTTAATAAATCTTCTCCACTTACTACAGCTCCAGTCCAATAATCCAAAAGGAGACCAGTAAATTATTCAGTTTCATTCGTGGAATATTTGAAGTTGTAATTTAATTCCTTACTTCAAGTCTCCCCGCATCTCGAGTTCGTCCTTCCAATTTTCCCCAAAGTCCACAATTCAAATCTTTCAAAGTTCCCTTAAATTGTTATTCTTTTTTCTAAGTAGTCCTTACCCTCTTCCGTCTCACGAGCCCTTTCGCTTTCGCCGCTGCTCGTATCTGCTTTGGCCGCTGTTTTTGGGCTTCGCTCCGACTAAGATACTCCAATATTCAACGCTCAATCAGGATCGCAAATTCTTTCACTCGCACTCTTCGTTCACCACAGTCTGTCACTCACTCGCTTCCTCTTGTGTGCAACGATCAAGGCTTTAGGACCGCCATTGCTGAGTCTCTTGTTGTCGGTCTCCACAGGGTTTCTCTACGTCGCGATGAGAATCGCCTTTTCCACACTGCGACTTGAGTCTCCCCACACTGGCACGCTTCTTTACAAGATGTGTGCACCTCTAAGGGTCACTCCAACAGCAAGAGGAGATAGCGTGAAACTCAGGACGAGCTTCAGCCCCTCCATTCGTCCATATCTTGCCACCGGAAGTCTCCAAGCATATATTTATTTCATTGGCACTTCCAACAAATAAATATGTAATAAATATGTTGCTGTATTTATATGCTACAGGATGCATTGAAGGGTTAACAAACAGATTAGTATGGGGCCCCTATGCTTGTGGGGCCCATGGGCAAGTGCCCATCAGGCCCATGTGTTACGACAGCCCTGACAATTGGTGTCCTATTTCGGTATTTTTCTTTTGAGTAGTCTTTTAGGATCTGAATTTTTAGTGATGTTCTTATTATATGGTATCTTAGACGCATGCCATACAAGATTTTATTCACAAATGCAGTAATTGCTGACACTAATAATATTTGCTTCTGGCCACCCAGGAAATGTTACATATGAAATCTGAAAAAAAAATATTTGCTCCTGAATTGCCACTATGGTTGCCATTGTCCCAAAGGTGATTTTTTTTCAAGAGGCAACCGACCCCTTCTGTTTTTTTTTTGAAGATGTTTTGCTTCTCCATCTCTCCGAACGATGAAAGATTAGATGTAAGAGACCCAACAAGTGTCTCCAGGTCAGAATAGCCCAGACAACTCCCTGTGGGAGCTTCGGCCCTTTGCACCAGGGTTGGGCACGGACACCGATCCCCATCCGCAGCTCCGCGCCCCTTCCCAGGAAAGAGGCAGCCCTGCTAGGAAGGAAGCCGTGCCCGGCGGAGACCAGCGGAGGATGCTGTGCGCACCTGCGCCTCCCCGCACACCCTGCCTAGCGAGTGAGACGGTGAAGGTTAGCACAGTGCAATGCGCATTAGCGCAGCCAGGTCTGCCTAACCCACGCAGGACACCCACCCAGCCCCCACCCGAGAAAGACACTGAATATGCAGAGCCAGGAGACCCACGCCAAGAGCTAAGCTGGCAGGCACAGAGGTGCCTTCCCGCGCTCCGCCACCTGCCCAGCTTGCCAAGCCTTCGGGAAGTCCCAAAGGGGCTTTTTTTTTTTTCAAGAGGCAACTGGACTTTCTGGGTTTTCTTTTGAAGATGTTTTGCTTCCCATCCCAGAAGCTTCTTCAGCTCTGCCTGGATGGTGGGGAAGGGAAGGATTGATACTCCTTGCAGACAGCTGGTCCTTTGCATCCTTTGAGAGGGTTGTTGAAGCACTGGATGTAATATAAATATATAATATATGAATGTATGATATCAATCCTTCCCTTCCCCTCCATCCTGTCACAGCTGAAGAAGCTTCTGGGATGAGAAACAAAGTCTTCAGAAGAGAAAACCAGAAAGTCTAGCTGCCTCTTAGGAAAAGCCCCTTTGGGACAACCAGGACCTGCAGGACAGACAATCTCTACAGACTTTCAGCCTTTGGGAACCACAATCGGCCGGGGGTGGCGAGAACGGGCCCACAAAAGAGGTAGCTTGGCCCTCCGCTCGGAGACTCTGGGGGCAGGTGGTCATGCCATAGGGCGGGCCAGGGAAGGATGCCTCCCCTGCAGCCAACGCACCCGAACAGCAGGTACCCTGGCATGCCCCATGAGCCTCGGAGCGCAAGAGCCGCCCAGCATGGCCGGGACTTGTGCTGCTTCTGCTTAGCCAGCGACGGTCGGCAGGTGCCCAGCTCAGGGCTGGGGCGGCTGTGGAGGAAGTGGGGGAGGACGACCCACGGCTGCTTTGAAGAGCCCAGTCTGCTCCAGATGCGCAGCCATTCCCCGAACCCTTCCGAACAGAGGCGCTGCAGGCAGTGATTCAATGGAAGACACGCATTCCAGCTCATGGGGATTTTAAAAGTTGGGCACCTGATTGCGAAGGAAGGTAACTCCTGTGAATGTGCATGTCCTCTGGGCCATGTGCAGAGTGACTCTCCCCTCGCCCGGTCAATCTTCCCTACCGCCTCTCCGAAGTAATTCTGAGCAAGCCAGAACCCCGAGCCTGATTGGGGGGAAGCCGGTGTCAAATCTGCTTTGCAAGGCCCCCCCCCCATTTCCCTTTGTTTCAGAACCAGTGGGCCACAGTGAAAACCTTCAAGGGCAAAGGGCTTCCATTGCCAAAGTTGTGGTAGAAGTCCTTCCAGAAAAGAAACAGCATGTTGTGTTAATATTGTCTTGGGATTCTTGGCACCCTGACACCTTCCCCCTCAAAAGACCCGTGACCTAATCCAGTAGCTGACTCTGGAGTAGCTCCAAAGGCTGTTTCTGGAGCGGTTATTTCCACGCAATATTGACCTGCAGCCTGCAGCCGTTCAAAGCGTAGAAGAAGTGTGGCTAAAAGAAGAGGCATCTAAGTAGGAGGAGGGCAACCCCCTCTCAGCTCACTCCCCAGTCCCCTCCTGGCATTTGAGAGGAGCCTGATGGTTGGTGGAGGTTCTGACCTGGAGGGCATGTCTGCATCACCAATTATTGTTGTGGATACAAAGGCAGAAGTGGGGAGGGGGGGAGAGGAAGGATGCCACATCTACTCCTTTAAAATGTGGACTAGCTGCAGAGCTGATTTCCTGTCAGTAGCCCCTGGTCAGAGAGAACCAAGAATGTAGGTCCTGTGGCATTTGGTGCATAAAATCCTTTTGAGCAGCTCATGCCGGGCAGAAGGCACGTCATTCCAGGTGACTACAAAAGTTCTGCAAAGTGGAATGGAAGGCCCTGCGGCCACAGGGCTTTTCAAGGTGGAGAGCACACTGGACAGCTGCCAGCAAAGATTGGCAGGGCCTCATTTGGCATTTGAACTTTGTTGGGTATGTATGGACACTGAAAAATAGCAGCTGCCCAAAGCAGGTCAGACCAAGGAGGAGCAGGCCCACAAAAGCATCCTGACCCAGGAGGTGCACTGGAGTCACTGACCTACCTGGTGACCATAATCACTGCTGCCGATGACCACCCTCCTTGTGGTAGGTGGGAGGATACCTAACCCCACTGAGAGCAGAGGTTAGGAGTCAGGGGTTTATACCAAATGGAGGGGCGTGGTTTGAGGCTGGGGGTCTGTGCTTCTCTTCCTTCCCCCTCCCTGCCAAAGCCCCCCCTCTAAATGTCCCTCCTTCAGCTGTGCCCTGCAGATCAGTTCAGCTGGGCTGAGAGAAGCAATGAGCCCAAAGTGTTCCCAGTCCTACCTACCACCCTACCCCAGCCATCAGGGAACCTTCCTCACAAACATTGAATGTATTTCTACCGACAAAGAAATAAAGATAAATATAAATTCAACCCAAGAATAGTTTGTTGCGAAAGCCTCCTGCAAAGGCTCCTGGATTGGGGCTGAAAGGTAAAATCGGAAGAAAGTAGACCAGGCTGCCCTGATAGACCAGTCTTACTGGGGGGAAAAACACTTCCTCACAAATGGAAATGTCATTCTTCCCTAACATTGCCATCTTGTGGGGACAATGGGAGTTGCACACAAACCCCAGCCAGAAAAGGTGCCCCATGAGGGTGTCAAGCTGAGCCCTCAAGACTCAGGGCTACCTCTAATCTTGTGTTGTGCAAACTGAGGAAGATGACGGGGTCCCGCAGCCCCACAAAGCAAAGGAATTAAGAGCCAGCCAGATAGCTCTGGACTTCGGCTGTTCATGGCTGCACTCCCAGGTGAGTGGGGCAGTGAGTGGCAGGAGCTCTGTGCTATTCCATCCACTCAGCTTCTAGGGCTGACCTGTAACCCTGTGAGAACCAGTTGGAGTCTGGCCCCAGATCCTTTCAGTTTTAGACTGGACTGGACTGGACAAGTGGAATTACTCGGTCGGAAGTAATCTCAGCATGGGTCTCAATTGACTTCTGGGCCCAGTGGATGTCCTTCTCCACCATACTGGGTGCTACTTAATGGGTAGGCTTGCAAGTGAGGTGCTCCGCTCCCCCCTCCAGGCACAGCTCCAGGATCAACATACAGAGTTCATTTACACCCAGCTACCTGGTTGCCCAAGAGCTGTGGGGGTTGGAGTTGCCAGGTTGCTCAATGCCTTGATCAGGCTCATGGCTGATGGTTTGGCCTTGCACACCCTCGGGCTGGAAGGGACTGTGAAGGTCTTCTAGTCCGATTCCCTGCCCAAGGTAAGAATCTCATACCTTCCTGGACAAACGGTTGTCCAACCTTTCCTTGGAAACCTCCACCAATGGAGGGCCCACCACTCTGCTGACAAACTGTTCTGTCAGATTTCTTCATTTCTAGGCTGGATCTCCCTCTGGTGAGCTTCCATCCATTGCTTCTTGGCTGGATACTATGGAAAACAAAAACTCTCTGTGGCAGCTTTTTAAATATTGGGAGATGGCTACCGTGTCTCTTCTAAGCCTTCTCTGTTAGGCTAAACTTACCCAGTTCCCTTAGCAGCTCATCATGCAACTTAGCCTCCCGGGCTTTGTAAAGCGTCCCCATACCTCCCTGACTCTGCCTGGGATTTTCCCACTGGCCAGTTTGCTGCTCCCAGCAATACAGATGACATTCATGTTGCTGAGAAAAGGATTGGCTCCTTCTTGGCTCTTTTCATCGACAAGAGAATGTTGACTTTCAGCCCCAAGGTGGCCTGGAGGACAGACCGAGAGGACTCTGCTCACTTCGATCACTGGCCCAACGCCCTGGCTGAGGAATCCTCCTCTGCAGGGATCCTGGAGTCAACGTAAGATCTGCACGTACAAAACTAGGCATTTCCTAGACCTGTTGCTTGTTAAGTGGGTCGACCCTGAAGCCCTCTTGGGCTACAGTCTCTCCTCCTGGATCTTTTCCTGCTGTGATCCCAAAGTCCTCACACAATGACCAGCAGCTGACATGAATCTGTTGAAATGCCCTGCAGAGTTTGGGGTCTTGGTTGACCTGGATGAATGTGAGCTTCATCAGCGAGAGTCCAATGCCCCCCTCCCCGGGCTGTGGCTGATCGAAATATTTATCTGGTGTGAGACCAACTCTGGGGAGGCGAGAGAAGGACCTACATTTTAATGATCTGGCATTAGAATTCAACTTTGTATCCATAAGCCAGAATGTGACTCTTGCTATAGGACTGCTTACCAAAAAGAAAAAAGGCAGCCTCCCTTCACATCATGCTGGGTTGCTTGGAAAAGAGCTGGGATAGAAAGATTCCATGTAGAGTCTATAGACATTCTCAGTCATCCATGTCATAGTTGTCCCAAAAGGGCTTTTTCAAAAGGCAACTGGACTTTCTTTGTTTTTCCTTTTCCTTTCAAGGGAAAACAAAAAAAGTCCAGTTGCCTTTTGAAAAAGCACCGTTCGGATTCCATGTGAAGGAACATCAAGGAATCTTTCACAAATCAACCACAACTGAATGTTTAGTCTGTAGATTTGCCTGGAATAAGCAAACCGTTCTGTAATATTCCAAAGTAATAACTTTTTCCACTCTATTATGCCCGTTACATTTTCTTTTCCTACTGGCAGCAATTGAGTGGCACTAGGTGTGTGTATCCCCTCAGTTCCCCAAAGAAATTCTGTATCAGCCTGTAATTCCAACTCTGTTCTAATACAAGAAACCTGGGACAGGAATGCTGCAGACGTAGGGGTATAGGTTTTATTGAACTTACTTTGAGTTAATGTTAATAATTGGTTAAAATTGCAATTTCCTCTATTAGAAGCAGCTGCTGAAATCCAGCCACTTCCTTTTAGCCTTTCTCTATCCGAGCCTGCAGATCTAAAAGTGAAGATAGAAGGTGGTTTTCTGGCACCTCCATGTCGCTCTCAATTGGCTCCCCAGCCATTTTAAACAGGAAGCTGTGCAGTCCAGCCTTCCTCGCAGCCAAATAGTCATTCACATAATGGTTCCCCACGTGAGCAGCCAGCTGGGGCTCCACCTTGGCACTGTGGAGGGCTTCCAGAAAAATCCGCTGGTCTGGCTTGGCAAACCCCACTTCTTCCGAGGTTAAGACAAACTGAAAATATTGTCGGAGGTTACACCGGCTCAGAATCTCTTGTAACCTCTGGTCAGAGTTGGAGATCACTGCCATGGGGATACCCTGTTGCTGGCACCACTGGAGAATCTCAATGGCCCCTGGGACCAGTTCCCAGATCTTTGGGCTGCTATAATCCTGGTAGAGTTTTTTGGCAATGGGCCAGAGAACACCACTGTCATGAATTCCAGCAAGCTGGAAGGTCTCCATGACAACCCCAAGCCACCACTGCTTGGAGCTGAGGCCCTGGCCTGAGCCATAGTTGGGGAAATGTTGGCTATGGGATGTATGAGCTTGGGAAAAGGAGTGATTGAGCACCTCAGCGGGTACCTGGAGGCCAAAGGCCTGGGCCTCGATGGAGTAACTCTGCCCCACGGAGACACGGAGACGAAGCAGGGTATCCTTGATGTCCCAGGTCAAAAGACGAAGTCTCAGCATCACAGCTGCCTGCAGCACCAGAACAGAGAGGAAAGGGGGCCTCATGCTGCCGGTTTTCTCAGACTGAACATATCCTGCTCAGCAAAGGTCATCCTGCAAGTTATTGTGGGTTGCAGCTCTCAATCAGGTAACAGAACAGAAACAGAATTGAAAGGGACCTTGAAGGTCTTCTAGTCTAACTCCTGCTCAAGCAGACCCTGGACCACTTCAGACAAATGGCTGTACAGTCTCTTCTTGAAAACCACCAGTGATGGAGCACCCACAACCTCTGGAGGGAATCCATTCCACTGGTTAGGTCACTAGGGCCAACTTCTTCACAAGCACCAAGGAAGCCCTTGTCCACATGAATGGAAGGAGCCCATGTTCAGCCCAGGGATTTAGCTCAAAGGCATCCTGTGAATCTGGGCAAGCCAAAACTCCCCAGAAGGGCATGATTTCACTAAAGTTGGGCTACCTAGGCCATCCAGCATAGGGTGAAAAGACAAAGTTATACAGATTAACAGAGTTGGAAAGGACTTTCTAGATCATCTAGTCCAACACCCACCCCCCGCCCAAACAGGAGACCCTACACCATTTCTGACAGATGAGAGTCCAATCTCCTCTTGAAAGCCTCCACAACTTCTGAAGGCAACTTCTGTCCCATGGGTTGATTGTTCTGTCAGAAAATTTCTCTTTATTTCCAGGTTGAATCTCTCCTTGATCAGTTTCCATCTATTATTCCTTGTCTGGCCTACAGGTGCCCTGGAGAATAGCTTCACCCCCTCCTCCTCTCTGTGGCAGCCACTCAAATATTGGAAAACTTCTCTCCTGTCTCCCCTGGTCCTTCTCTTCCCTAGACTAGCCAGGCCTAGTTCCTGCAACCATCATATATTTTAGCCTCCAGTCCCCTAATCATCCTGGTTGCTCTTCTCTGCACTTTTTCTAGAGTCTGAACACCTTTTTATAGTGTGGTGATCAAAACTGGATGCAATACTCTAGGTGTGGCTTTACTAAGGAATTATAGAGTGGCCTTAATACCTCCCTTGATCTTGATTGTATCCCTCTGTTAATGCAATTTAGGATTGCATTGGGGTCTTTTGGCTGCTGCTGCACACTGCTGGCTCCTATTTAGCTGGTTGTCCACTAAGGCTCCAAGATCCCACTCAAGAGTTACTGCTATTAAGCCAGGTTTCACCCAGTCTATATGTGCAGTTTTGTGTTGTTGTTTTTTTTTTGGGGGGGGGGTTGGTAAGAATTTACTTTTCTCTAGGTTGAATTTCATTTTGTTACATCTCTCTTAGCTTGTTGAAATCAGCTGTCTTAAAGAGTCATATTTAACCCGTTTTTAGGGCCCAAGGGAGAAAGGCAGGTGGTTACACCCCTCCCCCTCCAAAAGGAAAAAAAAAAGAATAGCACTTAGACACAACTTCATAGTCTTTTTACAGCCCTCTATATCAGGGGTCTCTAACGTTGGCAACTTGTGGACTTCACCTCTCAGAGTTCATCAGCTTTGCTGGCTGAGGAATCCTGGGAGTTGAAGTCCACAAGTCTTAAAGCCGCCAAGTTTGGAGACTTCTGCTCTATATGAAAAAGAAACTACCTTAACCATTTTCCCAGCGGAGTCAAGGAGAAAAAGACTTCGAGTGATAAGCTCCCGGCCTTTCCCAGGGCAACAATCTAGCCAAGTCAGCAGCGGGAGGAAGCGGTTGTGCTTAAGGCTCCTGGAAAGGGGACGGTTTCTTCACAGGGCAGCCTCATAGAAACCTGGCCCTCCAAGCTGGGGGGTGTGTGTGGGATTCAACGTCTAGGAAATGGGGAGTTCGGACCTCTTCACAATGGAAAGCCCCCCGAGACAAAGGAGCCCCCCCACAATACAGCCTCTTCGCTAAGCCCTCCTCCCTCCCCCGCGCTTCTCCTCCATGCAGGGAGACAGGAGTCCCTCCAGGGCCCACCCTAGAAGGCTGCTCACCTGGCCTGTGCTGGTAGAACTTCCGCCTTCCAGAACCCAGGAGGGAGCTTCCGCCCAGGAGCGCCAGCCCGGTGCACGCGCCTGCGCAGAGACCCATTTTGCGAAAATTGACGGGAAGAGGAAAATTGGCGGGAACACGCCTTCGCGCTTTCCGTTCTGGGCGGCTTCCCACAAGCCCTCCGCTGCCTCCCGTTCCTCCCTTCCTTCCTCCAGCCTGAAGAGACGAAACCCCGGCCCAGTGCACGCGCCTGCGCAGAGACCCATTTTGCGAAAATTGACGAAGAGGAAAATTGGCGGGAACACGCCTTCGCGCTTTCCGTTCTGGGCGGCTTCCTGCTGCCCTCCCGTTCCTCCCTTCCTTCCTCCAGCCTGAAGAGACGAAACCCCGGCCCACACCTTTTCTAAATTGACGGTCCCGGAAAAGTTCCTAGCCAGCTCTGGCTGTTGAATTTGGGCTGATCGTACATTGAAAACATCCACGTGACCTTCGTTAACTATCATACAACATAGAGGGAGTGGCATGTTAACATATAGAATCAATTATAGGGATGGAAGGGACCTTGGAGGTCTTCTAGTCCAGCCCCCTGCACAAGCAGGAGACCCTATATAGTTTTGGACAAATGCTTCTCCGGTCTCTTCTTAAAAACCTCCACTGATGCAGCACCCACAGATTCTGCGGGGAAGCTGTTCCACTGGTTAATTGTCCTGTTAGGAAGTTTCTCCTCAATTCAAGGTTGCTTCTC